CGGAGGCCATCCCTCTTAGGTTGGAGGCCATCGCTAGTAGGTTGGAGCACCACTTGCTCACCGGGTTGCCTCGTGCTGGGACAGCACCTGGAAGGACTCCAAGATGAGGCTCCAATCCACCTAGGAAACAGAATCTACTAGGGGATCCTGGCCTTGCTACTAGGAGCAAGGACGCTACTAGGAGTACAGGGCATCGCTAGTAGCTTTTCCAATCGAGGCCGCTTTCGAGAAAGCGCGCGAAAAGAAGCTCGAAGCTCTTTGGGACGGTGAGCGAAGCTCTTGGGGCAAAATGTTGAAGGAAAAATAGATCATGTCTTTCTCTTGCTCAAAAGCTTCAGCTTCAAGGATCTCATGCTTCTTCGATTCCTTAAAATAGACGTGGAACCGGAGAGTTCCCTCTCCCGAGGACCGCTTCAAGACCACAAGCACGGAACATTCCGGGTTGAATGCAGTCTTTTGGGGTGCCAAACCCTGGTCAAAGCCTCAAACACAGAATATCGATGGAGGACCAATGAGCCTGCACAGTAAATAGACACATGCTCCAGAATCTCTGGAAGTTACCCTGCTGAACCATGCCTATATCTTATATAGCTAGCCCAAGGTGTTCACCAACGATTCCACCACTGATTCTTTGGGTGAATGAACAACCCACCACAGGTTGAGGTAGGCTTCTTAGCATCCAAAGTGTTGTGTTGAAAATCAGCTCTGATAGGAAATGCTCTTCCCACATCCAGTCCACAGAGTCCACTGTCCACTGTCGTGTCATCTCTTCATGTTCGCCTGATCTTTGGGATCTTTGAGCTCCTGCAGTTTCAGCAGCTGTTCAGCTGGAGAAGTTTCAGAGAGGTGCCTCCTGGCTGATGAAATCCTGCCAATTTGAGTAGGGGTTCAAGAGCCCATGACTTCTTGCTGGCACGGAGGCCTTTTTTGTGCTTGAGTGTTCATCTATGATAGTTACGTGGGGGTTGCAGTTGGAGTTCTTGTTGAGGAGCGATTTGTGCATCGGATCAGATTTGAAGGAGGTTCGATTTCTACGCTCGAAGCCAATTCTCAAGGCATTTCGGCCCCAAACTGGTGAGACACCAAATTGCACATGGATCCGATCCAAGAACCTCATGATTCCATGATGGAAGGATTGTCATCAGGCTTCCGAGTCTTGTTTGTATGAAGTCACATGATCATGCTTCACAAACTCCACTATATGATTGTAACAATGCATTATATATATGTTGTTTTCTAGATCTCTTCTATTCCATATTATGCTGTATACGACTTGCTTTCTACCCTGTTTCATCCGTGGCCCCACAAGAGGCTCTTCCTCTGCCACAGCTCCAACACTATTCTGGGAGATTGTTCAAGTCACACCTCCTCAACCTATCAATCATATTTATTCTTATCCGATGTTGTGCTTCGTGTTTGAGATCTGGCCACTCTTGGATCTCAAAAACCATGCAGCTTCGTGGAGAGGCCCAACCTCAGAGAGGGCGCCATCAGGGAAGGGCTTCTTGTAGACTTGGCGCTTCAGGTAAAAGGCCTTCGTGGAAGAGCAGGAGTCACCGATTTCTGGACAGGGCTACATATAGGGGCTTATTGAACATCCCTCGATCCCTTGGATGGTCCAGCCCCGTTCTTGCAAGTGAAAACTTGTGTGGTCGGGGTCCTCATAGGTAGCTGGGGTGCAGGATTTGCATTGAGGCCGAGTAGCTCCCCTGTTGCCCAATGTCGCACTTGGCCATTCGGGATCATTCGATGTCTTCTTCCGCTCTCTCGCTCAACATCGAAAAAAGGAGAGCCAAGCAGAACCGGTCGACCCATCAAAGAAGCTCATCATCCTCCTGTGCGGGAAAAGTGTTTTAAGGCAAGCAAAAAGCTTTGCTCGGCCCAGCCCTCATGTCCTTACCTTTGCTAGCTACTGGTTGCATATATATATATATATACATATAGTTGCCTGTGTTTTTCTCGAGACACACCAAGTTTCAAAAGTGAGACCCCTCCCTAGTGTCCTTTAAGGTAGCTCTGGACACAACTCCTCTTACCACCATCACACCGTACATGTCATCAGACCGTATATTGCTTGAATTTGAATAGAGCCCGAAATGATTGGAAGGTTGCTTCAAGCTCCTGCAGGAAATCCCACGCCACCGACACTGGAGGACACGCTGGAGGTCAAGGAGCACATTCGCTACTCACAAAATACATTCCAATAAAGAGCAAACGAACAAGGACGCTACTAGGGGCTCCTGGCATCGCTACTCGGAGCAAGGACGCTACGAGGGGCTCCTTGGAGTGTTTTAGTCGGCGCCACGAAGAAAATATTCCAAAATCATACAACGTCCAGCTCCATCTGACGGTGACCCGCTAGTAGGTTGGACACTTCCGTCTACTCTCCTTGGCATGCCACTTTTCCTTTCAGGACAACAACATCACGCTTTTGTCCCACTTTCCTTCATTGCTCGCCTTCCAGAGCTCATCCTTCGTGAGGTCCTGGTACTTTGCTTCCTCCGCCAGGTTTCGCTTGTGCCACTGTCGCCCAACTCTCCCATTTAATTTTGCACCGAGTACAGGGAGACGGACCAGCAAAACATCCGCTACTAGGGGGCTAAAGCTATTGGGTTGGAGGCCATATCTATTGGAGGCCATCGCTACTAGGTTGGAGGCCATCGCTATTAGAAACAAAAAAGACATGTCTGAGTCCAATATAGTTTTGAGCCACACCAAACTCTGAAGCCACGAGACTCACCGCGCAGAGTCGTTTCTTTTCGCAGGGGTCTGAAAGGGCCATCAGACGAAAGGTCAGCACTGTTGACTGCTTTGCGATCCATGTGCGATCATGTACTGCGGTATTGGAGTTACCACGGCAGCTCATCTCCCTTTAAGACTCCAGACGCTCGACTCCCGACGCTCGGAGGTCGTCCGGGGATGACCCAGCTGACCTTTCCGTCGACTCCGTCGGAGCTTCTTATGAGCTCCTCCGCCCTCCCCGCTGACGCTGAGCATCTTCAGCCGATCGGCGAGCATCTTCAGATGATCGAGTCGACGTACATCTCTAGACCATCTGGAAAGCCGCTCTTTTTGAGAGTCTAGCCAAAAGGAGACTGCTTGTTCAAAGGGATACTTCTGGTCACTCCATGAAAGGTTCGTCAGAACCTGGTCAGAAACAGAGTTCTTGAACTTTTCACATGGCATCCCAGCAGTTTCCAGTCCAAGCTTGCAACTATCATGGGTTTAGGCCCCAAGATCTTAGGTTGGAGACCATCGCTGGTGGAGGCCATCGCCCTTAGGTTGGAGGCCATCGCTATAAGAAACAAAGGAAGAAAGGTCTTACATAATCTTACATATATAGTTTGCTATTAGGCTGGAGGCAGTCGCATTGCCGTATCGGTTGGTCAGGTTGCATCAGAAATTAGGCTCTTCACAGCCTGGGTCGCCCATAGTCATCCAACCTGGCAAAGGGCGGACACGGCGCAACCCGGGGCCAAAAGCAAAGGTGTGGCCCCCAACACAGGAAGTCGAACTGTTGGACAGTCTTCCACTTGAGATACCACAGGACAAATCCCAAAAACAATTTTTGGACCCCAAACCTTCACATTCCCTCATCTCAAGCCTCCGTCAAGGCCTCGACCCCATCCCCCACTCCAACCCGCCTCCGGGAAAATCCGCCCCCCTCGCTCTTCGCCAAGCACGCCACACCCAGCTCACTGAGGCGTCGACAGCCCAGCTGTGCCATGCAGCGTCGCACCTCGAAGGTCAACCGCTCCACCAATTGAACGATACCCTCCTCGCCATGGCAGGCCGCCGCCCAGTAGTACCTCGCTACTAGCAAAGGGCATCGCTACGAACAGAGCGATCGGACGCTACGAACGGAGCTCCTGGCCTTACTACTAGTAACAAGAAGCTACTAGGAACAAGGGCATTACTATTAGTAACAAGAAGCTACTAGGAGCAAAGGGCATCGCTACTACCTCACGTTGAAGGCCATCACCATCCATCACCGCGTTCTGCCAGGCCAACCCGTCTGTGCACGGTGAGAGGGCTACAGGGAAGCCAGGGAGGTTGAACTCTTCTCCACACACCGGTCGCTGATCCTGGAAGGAGTATAATCTAGAACTCAAAGATGTGCCAGACGGCAACTGTCACCAAATGCTAGAATGATTTCAGGGCAATCTAGAACCCTTTGCTCCTAGTAGCTTCTTGATACTAATAGTAATGCCCTTTGTTCCTAGTAGCTTCTTGTTACTAGTAGTAAGGCCAGGAGCCCCGTTCGTAGCGTCCGATCGCTCCGTTCGTAGCGATGCCCTTTGCTAGTAGTATATCTCATAAATTGAATCCTCTCTGCGTGCAGAGTCTCTGGGTTCCTCAATGTTTTGGCCTCCCTTCTTCATTCCAAGGTACAGCCGGCCGAGCCCCACACCTCTGGCACCCAGGCAAAGAGCCTTCACCACGTCAGCTGCACAGCGGACGCCGCTGTCGAAGTAGAGCTCGAACGTGCTGTTCGGGCCTCTGATTGCCGGCCAAGCCGAGGTGGTCGATCTTGGGAAGTGACACAAGCTAATTGCCTCTGATGGCCTCGCCGGCCACGTGGTCTTCTTCACATCTAATCACACCCCCACCACACCGAAACCACACCCGACCTAAATGTCCTGCTTCTCGTAGCGCCGCACTGATCTCCTGCAGCGCCTCCAGCGCTCCGATCGAGTTCCCACAGGCGCGGCCGCCGTGGTTTGAGACCACGACGCCTTGAAGGCCTAGCTCCACCGCCATCAGGGCGTCTTCCGCGCATTGGACGCCCTTCAGGTACACCGGCACACCCACCTGTGGTGCTTTTTTCGGGGGCGACTAGGTTAGAGAGAAGAACTGCTTTCCACTGCGGCGTGTGAAGCGCTCTAGGCAAATCATCAACCTACCAACCTACCATGTTTCCCCACCGGGAAGCTCTTCCGCATCTCTTTGAACTTCTCCCAGTCCAGCAATGGCGAGGGGAAAACCCCCGTGGCGGCCGAAGTGAATCGGTGCAGAGCGCCATGCCTCGACACTCGGCGACTCATCAAACTGACAAACGCCGAAAAAAGCGATGGCCTCCAACTAATAGCGTCCTTGCTTCTAGTAGCGATGCCTGGAGCCCCTGGCAGCTTCTTGTTCCTAGTAGTAAGGCCAGGAGCCCCTAGTAGCGTCCTTGCTACTAATAGCGATGGCCTCCAACTCGTAGAAGCCTTTGTTACTAGTAGCTTCTCGCTACTAGTAATGATGGCCTCCAACCTACTAGCGAAAGAAATGTCTGTTAACCAAATATACTGGCCAGTGATAGAGGGTATCAAATCAAGTGCCTTGTTCCATCTCAGACTCCTCAGAAGTTCCTGTCACTCCGAGCCCCATGGTTATGTCCTTCACATTTCAAAGGAGATCTGACAGAATCTGGTTTCACCATGTTAGCTAGTAGGAGCAAAGGGCATCGCTACTAGGAGCAAGAACGCTACTAGGGGCTCCTGGCCGTACTACTAGGAACAAGAAGCTACTAGTAGCAAAATATATAATGGCTTCACCTGGTTTCTGATTCTCCTCCGAGCTTGAATGGACCCGATCTCACCCGTCCCACCTGGGTGCGTTGGCATCCACGGTCAAGACCAAGGCATTCACGCCTAGGCGCAACGCTTCAGCCAAGCCGGCAGGCATGGCGAAGTTCTCGTCGTTGGTCAGGAGGTAGATCTGAAAGGCCTGGGAGTGCCTGAGGACAGGAAACCATAAATATGAGCCCTGTGTGACATGTGTGACATACTCACATCTGTATATATGTTTGATGTAAAAACTACAAAAGTACACATGCATATGTTCACATAAGAAAAAAGCTACTAGTAGCTAGAAGCTACTAGGTTGGAGGCCATCGCAAGTAGGTTGGAGGCCATTACTTACTAGTAACAAGAAGCTACTAGTAACACAGGCTCCCTAGTATCTCTTATAACACATGGCACTTGATCGTGCATCTCACGAAGTCATGTGCAGAAGATCTGACACGGACGATCCATTTCTGTCAGGGCGATTTCTCCGTTTGGGATTGCCCACTTACTAGTAACTTCTTGTTACTAGTAGTAATGGCCTCCAAACCTACTAGCCTTCTTGTCCTCTGCAGCAAATACGCTGGTGACAGCAAAATCCAGCCATCTGCTCCAATCGTGCCCTCCACTTGAGCGCTGGTCATGTAGCCTTCAGTGATACGGCCAGGAGCCAGGAGCCCCTGGTAGCGTCCTTGCTCCGTTCGTAGCAATGCCCTTTGCTCCTACTAGCGTCCTTGCTCCAGAGGTGTGGCCACTGCCTGCTGTAAAAGGCAATCGAATCAAGCACGCGCCACAGGAGGGTCATGTGTCAGGTTTTACAACACAGCCAGTGGCATGCCAGTAGGAAGTTGTAGTGTTGATGACCTGCACCCTCTCCACAACTTTGGACTGCACATTCTCGGCACGCGCAAGCCAATTTTATCGTGATTGTCGGAAGGTGATGGCCAATCCTTGCATCTGAGGAGCCATTGGATTCACAATCCATCTGCCCATCATCAGTCATCAGTCCCGGCAAAGCCGCGGTGACCTTCCTAGTTGGAAATCGAAAGCCAAAGACACCGCAAGCTTCTGGAGCCAACACTCAAGGAGATCTGCAGCGAAGAACATGCAGCTGGGTGTGTAAGGCAGGCAACACATCGTGTCTGAAATACTTGCACTATGGTGTCCACAGACGTGGTGCGCCCAACGACCCAAAGAGGGGTGACCGGCTCCATGGTGATGTGCACTGCTGGTTCCGCCGCTGTCGCCTCCACAGCCGGCAGCATCGCATGGTGTTCTGCAACCTGATGGCCTCCAACCTGATCTGCCGAAAAGAACAGGTGGACACACGTCGCCCATCACTGAACCAGGGTGCTCCACATAGCATGAACAGAAAGGCCACCGGGGCAATGGGGCTGTGAGCTGCCGCTGCATAGAAGCAAAGGGGGAGTACATAAAGGCATGGGTGTTTTCATGAGACCATGAAGGGTTTTGACAACCCATATCTCAACGCATCAAGAAGATGCTGAAATGCAGCTTGAAAGGCCTACAAGATGCCACAGCCCGGCTTTCCGGCTGAGGCGGATAAGTTGAACAAGCTCAGCTGAAAAGCGTGAAGATATTATCCGTTCGAAAAGAACAACAAGAAGCTGCTGGGGACTCCTGGCCTCGCTACTAGGAGCAAGGACGCTACTAGGGGCTCCTGGCCTTACTACTAGGAACAAGAAGCTACTATAGGAACAAACATACAGACAGCGCAGCTTCTTCAGATCTCTCGTGAACATCGTCGAGCATCCTTGCTCCTAGTAGCGATGCCAGGAGCCCCTAGTAGCGTCCTTGCTCCTAGTAGCGATGCCCTTTGCTCCTACTCTGGTACTTCATGACACTAAAGTGGGAGGCCAAAAGTTCCACCCATCATCCCGAGCTGTGCATCTACGCGGGAGCTTCGCACAGAACCAGTTCCCAACTAGTTTTCGAGATGTTGGAGATTTTGCATGATAATACTCCTGCCTCCGGTCGACCTGAAGCCTCGAAGTGACCAAGCAGAGATTCATGAAAATTGGATTGCGCTTTCAGTCCAACCACCTGTAGATTTTGAGATCAAGAAATTGCCAGGGCTTGGGCAGTTGAGGAACACGCCCACCACGCCCACCACGACCCCATGCCCAAGGCACTTCGAGGCTTTCCAGATCTCCTCCAGCGGCAGACTCGACACAGTGGGCACCAGGAAGCGGCTCCGGAGTCGCTCGGCTGCACGCACCTCACGGAGTTGCTTGGCCCGGCCGAGAGTCGCTGGCCTCGAAGCCTCCTGGTGCGGGACTTCAACAACTACCAGGTAACTGCAGTGAGTGTTCGGTAGGTGAACCTTTAGCCCAAGAAGCTACTAAGGGCGCCTGGCCTTACTACTAGGAGCAAGGACGCTGGAAAGATTGACAAGTCCCTCTCTTCGTGTCCATTTCACCAAGAAGTTTGCTTTCTCTTCATTACGCCTGCTCGCAAGATTAATGAAGAGACACACATGTCTTTTGCTCTGGCCATGGGGGGCCTGAGATGGAATGGAGAAATGGACAGGTCCCTGCAGCGAAGACAAATTGCCTCATGGAGCAAGATGTGGCCTAGTAGTAACTATTAGTAAGAATGCTCCTAGTAGCGATGTCAGGAGCCCCTAGTAGCATCCTTGCTCTTAGTAGTAAGGCCAGGAGCCCCTAGTAGCGTCCTTGTTCCTAGCGATGCGACGATGCGAAGCCCCTGGTAGCATCCTTACTCCTAGTAGTACGGCCAGCCTAGTAGCTTCTTGTTACTAGTAGTAAGAATGCTCCTTGTGGCGATGCCAGGAGCCCCTAGTAGCGTCCTTGCTCCTAGTAGTAGGGCCAGGAACCCCTAGTAGCGTCCTTGTTCCTAGTAGTGATGCCGGGAGCCCTTAGTAGCGTCCTTGCTTGACCCCTAGTAGCATCCTTGTTCCTAGTAACGATGCCAGGAGCCCCTAGTAGCGTCTAGTAGTAAAGCCAGGAGCCCCTAGTAGCGTCCTTGTTCCTAGTAGCGATGCCAGGAGCCGCTAGTAGCGTCCTTGCTCCTACTAGTACCAGGAGCCCCTAGTAGCATCCTTGCTCCTAAGGCCAGGAGCCCCTAGTGGCATCCTTGCTCCTAGTAGTAAGGCCAGAAGACCCCAGTAGCTTCTTGTTACTAGTAGTAAGAATGCTCCTCCTAGTAGCGATGCCAGGAGCCCCTAGTAGCATCCTCGCTCCTAGCTTCTTGATACTAGTAGTAAGAATGCTCCTAGTAGCGATGCCAGGAGCGCCTAGTAGCATCCTTGCTCCTAGTAGTAAGGCCAGGAGCCCCTAGTA